TTAAACACCATAAATATGTATTGTTCTTTATATTTTATCTTTTTAAATAATTAATCAATACTTAAATCTTTGTTTTAGATTCTCATATTATCTTTAGTAAAATCTTGATAAATGAATTTTCGATAGATTAATAATATTGTTAGATAATAAAATTTTGCGATCTCAACCGTGTATTAAATTAATAATCTGCTAAATGCGTGAGATGATAATTTTTAAAATCCTTTAGTCCCAAACGAAGATATAAAATAAAAATTGGTTAAATAAGTAAAATTTATAATACACATTAAGAACTTTTTACTTGAAAACTCTTATTATTTTTTCAATTTATTTTTTTCTAAAAATATGCATATCCATAGTTGTTTGCTTTTTCTTTTTACTCAAATCAAACACAACTTCATTCCTTATTATTATTATTATTATTATTATTATTATTATTATTATTATTATTATTATTATACACATTTGATAAGTGTTTTCTATTTTTGAAATAAACTGAAAGTATCTGCAAGAGACATTTTATTTTTAAGAACATATTCTATCATTTGGAGATAAATTTAGAAAGTTAAAATTTTGAAATACTCCAACAAGTTTTTAATATTTAACACTTAATTTTACTACTCTAAAAAAAGATTTATTATTTTTTTCTATTTTTTATTTTAACTAGATTTTCTCTAAATTATTTTATTATTTTTCTACATTGAAAATTAAAACACTTTGGATGTATTGAGAGAGAGAAAGAGAGAGAGAGAGAGTGTGTGTGTGTGTCAAACATACTCTCTAAATTAAAATATTAATTAAAGAATATCTTAAAACATAATTTTAAGGATTGACTCTTTAAAGTAAAGAGTATCTTATGTTTAAAAAGTCTCTTGAAAAGGCTTTAATTTGTTTAAAATTAAGATATTTCAAAGATTTCTTGATTAAAAAAAAAAAAAAAATCGTTAGTAAACCAAAGCTGCCACCTAAATTATAATTACTCCCAATAGGTGCATTCAGTATTATTGGATAATTATTTTGGTAGTTGGTTATAACACCTTCACATCATTTTTAATAGGATAATTAAAGTGAGTGTGAATAACTACTTCGTTAATTGTTAATAAATCTTCACATAATTTCCCCAGGATAATTCAGGAGGAACTCAACTTCCATCACAATTTTGTTGAGTCAACTAGGAATGAATTCACACAATCTATAGATAAATTAATAAATCATTTATTTATTTATCAGTAAATTAATAAATATTTCTGGTTACAAAATAATTGTTATGTGAAAGTTAAAACTAATTGTTAAAAGAATTAAACTAATTTGACAGAAAAAGAGTGACATGTGGTTCGACATCATCTCACATTGTGTTGGGACCAGTGTAAATAAAAAATTCCAAAAAAAAGAAAAAAAAGAAACGTGGCTCCCACCCTTATTGTGAGTGTTCGGTCAAGGAATATGTCATCTACATTCTATCAGTATAGCATAGTTGTTGTTAAAAATACAGATATTGTCTTACATAAAATCCTTTTCTATAGTTAATTTTTTGCTTAAATTTGAATCAATTTTTAAAATAAGAAGTGCTCGTTAATTCAATGTCCATTTGGTGAGAATTAAAATTAGATTTTTAATAAATTTTGATAGAAATTGATAAAATATGTGGTTGAAAAATAGTGAATTCCATTCAATAAGTGATAAAAATTAATTATTGATTTTGACTTAATTTAAAATATAAAGTTTAATCCTTATTAATTAGGGGCATAATATCTCGATTTCTCAAGTTTAATGCTAAATTATCGCCATGGTAACTAGACATAGCCCCCGTTTGAGCCACATTATTGTAAAAACAAGAATGAAAATATAGTCATTAATGATCCTATGGAAGAGATAAAAAATCAAATATGGTGATTTGATATGATGGATAATAATCATATTTTCGTTTTAATGAAAAAATAATGGGACTCAAACAGGGCTATAATTTAGATTATAATTAATTAACCAACCTCTCGTGATAAATTACCTTCGTAATTTCCAATAAAGATGGGTTTGGTTCAAATATTTAACATTTAACTGTATTAAGTTGACTGCTTGGAGTTCGGCGCATTATAATTCAAATAACTAATTCATTATTAGCCCTTGTTTGAGAAAAATTACATTACATTACATTACATTCTATTTTTCTCTCTCCTATTTTCAACCACACAATCTTCCATAAATTTCTCTCTCCTATTTTCAACCACACAATCTTCCATAAAATAATATTACACGTAAATCGAAAATTTTTCTTTTTTTTTCAACCACTCATTTTTCAAAAAACACTATTCTATACATTAAATTTTCCCCGTAATGGGGGCCAAACAGGGGCTTACTTGTAGGCCCCCATAATTACTTTATATGCAGGTAACATTGTGCTCCTCATTTCTCCAATGCCATTGAGGCGCGCGGCTTACTGTAATTTTATTTTTTTATTTTATTTTATTTTTGTAAAAAGACATTAATGTCCTGTTTGAGCTCATTTTTTGTCCCAACATGTATTTTGGAAGGAAAATGCCACGTTGATAGAAAATTTTTAACAAATTGTTTGACATGAGAGTGTGTGACATTTTGTGATTGGATTGAAAATGTAACTTTGTTTTAAACAGTTAAATAATAGAATTCCACTTGATATTATGTTAACTGTTATGTCACTATAGCATGATTCATTTTAGAGTAGTATTTTGATGAGGAATATGTTAAAAATAAGAAAAAAATTTAAATTTACGTGTAATATTATTTTATTAAAAAATGTGTAGTTGAAAATAAGAGAAAAAAATATATTTTGAAAATAATGAGAAACAAACAAGGGCTAAATCAAACAGTAAAATTTAAAAGAAAATCTAACCCTTGTTTGAGCCACATTATTAAAATGAAAATATATTTTTGAATGGTGTATTGATGGAAAACGTGTAGTTAAAAAAATAAGAAAAAATTTTAGATTTACGTATAATATTATTTTATTAAAGAATGTGTGGTTGAGATGATGTCAAATCACTGTTGAAAAATACATTTTTTTTGAAAACATGTGGCTCAAACAGGCCACTATTGTAGACTCTAAGCAGGCGAACCATGCTATTTCCACTTTTACTAGGACAATCCTCATGGGAAGTTGAGTTGAGGCCCCGTTTGGTACCCATTTTTTTTCAAAATGTATTTTTCTATATCTTCTTTTCAACCACACATTTTATTAAAATAATATTACACATAAATAAAAAAATTTTCCTTATTTTTCATCCACACATTTCTCATCAATTTACTATTCAAAAATTTATTTTTATATAAAAATATTTCCTAAACACCCCCTGAATAATTAGCTCAAAATAGCATGCTTATTGAAGCCAACTTGTGAATCAGTGCATACTAAATCAAGTTGACTTTGATATATAATTTTAATGGACTAAGAGCTCATTTTGTATGACTTTTGAAAAGTCAAAAATAATTTTTAAGATTCAAAACCTGCTTTTTAATCCATATGACTAATTTTATGAAAGTACTTTTTTTAGTTAAAAGAGTTTTTATAGAAAATTGGTCCATTATGACTACTCTAAAATCACTTTAAGAATAAAAAGCTCATTTAAAAATTAATTTTCCAATAAAAATGAAGGTAGCTTCCTTCAAAATTTCTTTTACCAAATGCAAAATCAAAAGCAAAAACTATGCCAAAAGAGTCCTAAGTCATCTTGAATTTGGATCTTTTGACTTGTTTTGACAAGATTACCTCCAACTTAATGTTTAACAAACGAAGTAAAAAAAAATATATATATATATATATATAGAAAGAAATCAAGAACAATCTATTTAATAAAAAATACTGTTAGATATGTTCGCTAGTTACTGAGCCCCCGTTTGACCTCTATTTTCTCCAAATTTTAATATTTGGAATAATGTCTTTTTTAAGAATGTGTGATTTAAAAAGAATGAAATTTTTTTCAATTTATGTATAATATTATTTGATAGAAGATTGTGTACTTAAAAATAAGAGAGAAAAAAATGAAAGAAAATGAGGATCAAACAGGGGCTTAAAAAGAATATTGTTTTCAATTTAATTTGAATATTATATTATTTTTCAGCCTTTGTCTGGGCTTCATTTCATCAAAAATAGATTGTTCTCTCTTCTTTTTAGCCCTGTTTAAGCCCCAGTCTTTTGAAAAAAAAAATGTATTTTTTAAAAGTGTTTTGATATCATTTCAATCATATATTTTTCAAAAAATAATATTATACACAAATCAAAAACTTTTCCTTATTTTTTAATCACACATTTCTCATCAGTACACTATTCAAAAAGGGGCTCAAACTAAGGCTTAATCAAGTATTCTCTAATAAAATAATATTACAATAAATTTAAAGTTTTTTTTTAATTACACATTCTTAAAAAAAATCACTATTTAAAAATATATTTTCCCTCCAAAAATACGTTTTAATGGAGTCCAAACAAGAGTTTAATATAACACGATTCTAGAAATTATTTTTTGAAATACTTTGAAATAAAATCACCACACACAAGAAATGTAATAAAAATTTGGAAAATATAAACAAAGAAAAAGAAAAAGAGAAAGAAAAATGAGGATAATGACATAAAACGTTACATCAGATGAGTCACCCTAAAATGTGTTATGAAATAGTAATTTTTGAAAGAATGTACGGTTAAAAATGAAATTTTTTTTCTTATGTATAATATTATTTTATTAAAAGATATGTGATTAAAAATAATAGAGAAAAAAATGAATTAAAATTTTAACGGATCCAAAGAGTAGCATATCTCCTGTCTTTTATTCGTATGTCTTTAATCAAAAAGGGGAAAAAGAAAATTTGAAATACGAAAAACAAACGCCATTACTCTCTCTCTACCTGCTTTGGCCCTTTTATCATCCACACGGTATTTTCTCTCTCTAAATTGAAAGCAAAAGGTCTCTCTTCACCGTCCACTCTATCAACCTCCATAAATTCTATATAAAATTATCAATTGAACAAGATTAAAAAAAGTTATTCTGGTAAGAATTTATGCTTTTTTTTTTTTAATGAATCTGCTCCCTTTAAGATCTCACTTTCACCATTAATATCATTTTACTCTATTATATAGCTCACTCTTCTTTCCTCAATTTCTCTCTCTAGGCGCTTCTTCCGCTTCAGTTCTGGTAAGTATTTTTCTTCTTGATTTCCATTTTCTCATTATGCTTGTTAATTTTTAGTAACATTTTTTGAATGCTGTGATTTGACTTCCAGTATAGACTTTGGATGCTTGCTTAACTGTTTTAATGTTGTGTCGGTGGCTTTGGATTTTCAGTGTAGTGTAGTGTTTTTATAGTGTTTTTGGTTTTGAAGCTAGATCTGATCTTCGAAGTTTGGTTTTGTGTTTATTAGTATATGTTGATTCAATTTCTGTTTCTAATAAGAATCTTGATTGTCCGATTAGATTTTTGAATGTGAGGAAATGAATTCCTGCCTAGTTTAGGTAAGAAGAATGTTTATATTTTTGGTGTGGTTTTTTTGGTAGTTTGTAATTTATGTTTAATGTTAGTTTGAATGAATTTTGTTTCTCAAAGCAGTGAAATACATTATCTCGTATTTATATATATATCCGTAAATATATTTTTACACAAGTAATAGAATTTTGTTAATGATATGTATAGCAGGCCTGCTTGAACATTGTGAAAGTAATTTGAAGGCCAAATGCTTAGTATAATCTGGTTTGCATGCAAGTTAACTACTCTTTTTTTTTTTTTTTTTTTTTGTCTAATGAATTGTAAATTCAAATAAATATGAAATCAAGGCTAATGGAGTATTTCTTCTTTTCCTTTGATCAGGTTATCACAATTCTGAATAAACTGGTAAAAATGGATGGAGTAATAGATATCAATGTGCCACTTGACTATATTGAGTTCGAGATCTTTCCTAGCCGGAATAGGTTTATACATTTGTACCTTAAATTAAGAATGCATAGTCCACCACAAAAGCAATCTGCCTCTCTCATTTGTTTACCTTTTCCTTATATAGGTACGAGGCATGTGTATGCTATGATAACAAGATAGAAAAAGTAACATCTGGACTTCTAGAGCATCTGTTACAGCATTCAGCTGAAGTGAAAAATTTGCAATCAAATGGATCCAATGCCAATCTCAAACTTCAACCGCCTGAAAATTTTTCTGACACCAAATGGTTTACGAAATCAACCTTGATAAGGTTCATCAAGCATATCTTATTTTACGGATTTACCATCTTAATTTTGATCAAGATGTGTTTTTGTTTCCCATCACTGCAATTTCAATTTTTCTTAACTCAGATTTCTGCATATCATTGGTTTATCAAAGATACTTAATATCACCAATACCGTGAAGAATGAAATTTCTCAGCTGGAAGAAGTTCATAGATTTCAGCTTTCTTTATATGCAAAGGTAACATCTGTTAATACTCAACTTTTGTGTATTCTCTTTGTTGAATTAACCTCTGAAAGTAATATTAAATTTATTCCTTTCTCAGGGTACTCAAAATCAGCACAAGAATGGTGAATCAGGTTACTGTAGTTGAATCCTATTTTCGTATAAGCTTGACAGCTACATTATAGTCATTATTAGTTTTCTAGAGTTTCCAGCATAGCTTTTAAAAAGCATCCCGGAGCGAGAATGTGAATTCTGTCCAGTTTTGACCCGTCCATATGTATCACAACAAGTCATAGGATCTTATCAACCAAGAGAGAAAAACTAATCACTACAGGGCCTATCCAACGTAAAGATAAGCTATGCCCCTGTTTGGTACAAATTAAAATCTAGATTTTAATCTAAATAAAAGTCAACAATCAATGTTAACCACATATTTTATTGGTCTCACAATTTTTTAAACACACATTTCATCAACATCTATCAAAATATACTAAAAATCTGATTTTAATCCCATGTATACACATAATTGTGCAGCTGATACTGATTAATATTTTTTATTGACAGACGACAGCTACTCTAATGGCACGGCATCAATTCAAAAAGTAATTTTTATTCATATATTGTTTTTGTTTTTGTGAACTGGTATTCCAAATGACTTGTAATATTTACTCCTATTGCTAATATTGTGAAAGGTGTTTCAACAGACTGAAGACAATGCTGAATCGTCAGATGCTTCCAAGTATGTCTGCTGACTCTTCAGTATCAACTTAATTAGGAAAAACTAAGTTATCAGTTGGTTAAATTTTAGCATGATAGCATCTCCGTAATATGAACCGTTAATTGCTGGCAGGGATGAATTGCTGCGAGCAATGGAATTGAGGATAGCTGCATTGAGAGGAGAATTGGTTGCTGCTTTCGATCAAGCTGCTGGTTTTAGATATTCTGTTGAGGAGATATCTGACATAGAGAAGTTTTCCCATCATTTTGGATCATTAGACTTGAGGTACCTCTGGCTATAGCTTAGGGTGCATCGATTCATTGTCACTCATAAACCATTCTTTTCTTCCCCTGTTAAAAGAGACGCATTTTATGCCGAGTTTCCATGAGTATCAGTCATAAAGTTTTTATATTTGTTTCAGGGATTCGTTGCACAAGTATGTTGAATTGAGAGAAGGAAATCAGGCTGTTGATACGTCTGCTGATAAACAGAATACAGTGAATAATGAAGTCAGTGGAAAAGAAGTGAAAAATCATATCAAATCATCTTATTTGGATACACCAGTGAAGTATGGCGTTTCTCCTGCAAAAGCTGCACAGATTGAGAGGCAAAGTTCATCAGAAAGTGAGGATTCATCTTTCTCTAGTGAGGAAGACCAACCATCTGTGGAAAGAAGTCGGACTCTTATAAGATCTGCTTCACCTAGGAGGTCAGCATCTCCAATGCGAAGGGTACAAATTGGACGATCTGGATCCCGGAGGTCTACTGCATTAACTATTAAGTCTCTGAATTATTTCCCAGCTAGAGAGAGGTCAGTTTTGCCTAAAGATCCAGATGCAGATAATACTGATGAAGAAGCGAATGAGGAAGCTCCTAAAAAATCTGAGAATAATGTACGGAGAATGAGTGTGCAAGACGCAATCAGTCTTTTTGAAAGCAAACAGAAAGATCAAACAACGGATATTCAGAAGGCGAGGGCTTTGTTAAGTGCTTCTGTTGGTGCAAATAAATCTGTACTGAGAAGATGGAGTAGTACAGTGGGTGAAAATTCTCAGGGTTCCCCAGATATGGATTCTGAAGATGCATCTCCCAGTGTTCCTAATAATTTGGGAAATAAGGAAATCAGTCATAGTTCACCAGAAACCAAGCCCAAGCCTGTTGAGCATTGTGAAGTAGATTTCACAGTGAATTCACCTGAAAAAGGAGCATGCATTGCACCGGGTGTGCAAGAAGAGTCTCTTTCATCACAATTGATGGAGGCTAGTGAAAAATTATCTGCCTCAGCTGAATGGAGTCGTCAAAAGGAAGCAGAACTGAATCAGTTGCTGATGAAGATGATGGAAACTAAGCCTGTAAAATATCAGAATGCGGTGCCTGACAAAAGCAAATCTGAGAAGTTGCCCAGTGAGCAGAGAGGTGGTCAGTACAATCATTACAAGGAGAAGAGAGAAGAAAAACTTCAAGGAGAAACTGCCAGAAAGCGAGTTGAGAAAGGAAAACAATTCAGTGCAAAGCAACATACTCCTGATTCAAGAAAGGCTGAAATGGCCTCTCCAATTGTAAGTCAGGCTAGTAAATGCAATAATGTCAAGAAAGTCCAAAAATCACAAAAGAATATATCTAAATCTGCATTTCCTAAGTCAGAAAGCACAAATACTGGTGTTGTGAAGAAAACTGTCTCAAAATCATCGTCTTTGCCTGCCACACGTAAGTCATGGCCAACAGCACCATCGCCAAGAGCTCCTGGGGCTAAAATCTCTCCAGGAACAACTTCCACTGGCACCACACCAACGAGTAGAAGATCACAGCCAGCATCACCAGTTTCGCGATCTACTCCTAAAGTGGAAACATCACAACCCAAATCTAAGCCTGTAAGACCTAATCAGAATGACAATAAGAAGAGTGATAGAAGTGTGCCTGACAAGAAGCAGCAGGCACTGATGAAAACAAACAGAACACCCAAAAACAAAGTTAAATCTGCCACTGAAGATCCTATTTCCTCTGCAAAACCTAGCTCATATAGCAAGGTTACCAAGAAGAGCAGTGTGGTTCCACTGGAATCAAAGCCTTTTCTCCGCAAAGGCTCTGGAACTATATCCAGTGCTAATCCAGCTGGAAAGACAAAAACATCCAATCAGTCTAAGGAATCATTGAGGAACTCTGCAGATCCAATTGCAGCTGGGGAAAAGGAAATGATTTTTAATTCTTCCAATGCAGTAATTAAGCAGCAAGAGGTGGAAAGTGAACAGTTGAATGTTCTTGCAGCTATGGAATCTGAAACCCCGGCTAAGAGCCCACATAAGTGTGAAGACACCGAGAGCTGTACTGATGTTACACCTGCTAGTGATAATAATAGCTTTGAAAGGATGGCAGAGCCTGAAATAAAATCAGAGGTTGAAGAAGAATCAATGATATCCCCTACAGCTTGGGTGAAAATGGAAGAGCTAGATGATCAGCCCATTACCTCTGGTGACAGTATTTGCCAAATCGAATCCCCGGTCTATATAGCACCAATTAGAGCATCAAGTCCACGTGTTCGTCATTCTCTGTCACAAATGCTGCTTGAAGAGAGCAGTGAACCCGATATCTCTGACTGGGGCAATGCCGAAAACCCTCCAGCAATGGTCTACCATAAAGATGTGCCCAAAGGATTGAAGAGGCTGTTAAAGTTTGCTCGGAAGGGCAAGACTGATGCAAATTCAACTGGTTGGTCTAGTCCATCTGTCTTTTCTGAAGGAGAGGATGAGTCCGAGGATTCCAAATTTCCCAGCAAGAGAAGTGCTGAAAATCTCCTGAAGAAGGCTACCCTTCACTCAAAGAACATTGGGCATCAAAAGGCTTCTTACGAAAACCATGAGATACCTTCCGTGGATTATGTAAATCTTGGTTAGTTTTATTTATTTATTTATTTTTTTTTTTTTTCTGTTAGGAATTGATAGATTCATTTCAAAGTACAAATCCTCAATTCCTCCCATTGACGCAAGCAAACTTAAAATGAAAAAGTAGGAGAAAAGAATTAATTTTTTTGAAACCACCTTGTAGAAAAGTTGTTGTAGAAGGGATGAATTTATTTATTTTTGTCTTCACGACTCCACATGTGGGCCAAATTCATATTTTCATCAAAGACCTAGCACGTACAAGTTTCCTACTTGTGTGCTATGATATTATGTTGAATATCCTTATGAAAAGTTTAAGTTGTTAGAGAGTAGACCGTTTACTTTTTTTATTAATATTTTGACAAATAGATTTCAGGTGAGATGGGTAAATGAACAACTTACAATTAAATCAACATCACTCTTCTCTAGTGATTACCATCATCTCATTTCACTCATTTGCCTAGTACGTATCCAGATGTTGATAGTGTCGATGATTTTCTTTTCTCTTCTATCCCAGTTCAATCAAATAAAAGCAAATACAGTGCTCCAAGCTGGTCTCAACAGTTGCAGGAAGGCCACGTCTCAGCATCTGCGACGACAACAAAAGGTCATTTGGTTTTTGTTGTTTAATTTCGTTACATTCATGTTATAGTGATGCAGCATTCTAATTTTCATTAAATTTTAATATTGTCTTTCAGCAACTAGGTCATTCTTTTCTCTTTCAGCGTTTAAGGGAAGCAAATAGAAAAGGGAGCTTAAACAACTAATTTATACGAAATCTGGATAGTGGCTGACTATTTGGATTAATCTAGTGCTGCTTTTGTTTTGGCCTTTGTGCACTCTCTGGATGCTGTTGTTGGAAATTCACGGGATTATCCTGCACGCTGTGATGAAATTGTATTTGTAGGTTTAGTATTTAACCGTAAAGAGTACTTCCAATGCACAAATTTGTTATTCTGTGTGATAGATAAAGATGTAGATTCAGCAATTTCTGTAGCTCATAAATCACAGCAAATTTGCGTTACATCTCTGAGTTGATTTTTTATTGTATTTTTTTTTCCTTTTAAATTTCTATGGTTACCCTTTTCTTTTATCCAACGCTAATACACAAAATTATATCAATCATGCTTGGTGTACATCTACTGTGATATCTTTTTTTAACAAAATGTCACGTGGCATTCAATCATTTTCCATTTAAAAAAAAAAATAGCTATTTTTTCATCCAGTAACAAACTGCCAACACAGATTCTGTCATCTAAGGCGGCAAAAAATGATGTACAAGTAGTTAAATTCAAACAATATTAAAACGGTGGTACTAGTGGTATATAAAGGTGTACTTAAGTGTGTACACCATTTTCACATGAGATGTGGGATCTATCCGAATAAAAAACATTTATTTGGGTGGATTCCACACCCCATGTAAGGGGGGGATGTATGCTCTTAGGTACACCAATTATGTACCACTATATTAATTCATATTAAAACCTAGGCTATGATACAAATTGTTGGGGGAACAAGAAGCAAGCATCACAAAAATCGCTGTCTTGAGATGACAAACATGTCATGTATGGGATATAATTCGTTTGTGTACTATTAAGAACACAATATTTTTGTTGAAATTTAAACACGTAGATATTTTAGAAATTACTCTTCTAACGTATGCGCTTTACAGATTTTCTTTTGCATTTCTTGAATTATCTTAAATTCACTTTCAGTATCTTTGTTCTTTAAGAATTCTAAAATACTGTAAGATTTTGTGTTGGATCAAAATAATTAAATCATATAATTGAACCTTGATAGATGAGAAATAATTTGTATGTGTTGTAAATATATTAATATTTATGAATGACTTTTATATGGGAAGAATACATATATCCGGTGTATCGTATACACCAGTTCACATGTAAGGTTTTTAAAAAAAAGATTCATAACTCCGGTATTATATATATATATATATAATTCTTTCCACTACAACAATCGAGATCTCAACCAAAAGAGCCCAAATTTCAGAATTTCACGTCACAACCCTATTTTGGCCGCCGGAGAAGGAGAAAAGAGAAGGTAATGGACGATGAATTTGAACGATTTCGAAATTATTATTTTCTCCGTATCACAGAATATTTTCAATTTTGTATTTGGATTGATGGAAATTAATTGTTTGTGACACAGATTTGAGACTCAATTTCGTGAAATTAACACAATCGCAGAGAAGAAGACAATCTAGGTAATACTTCGACAATATTGTGGATAGCTACTATGTTTGTAGTCACAATCCATCGAATAGGATCTGCGTGCAGTCACATAATCGTCCATCGGATCTATTCTGGGCGCATATTTTGTTTGATGCAAAAACATTGTTCCATATCAGTGTTGTGAACGAATCTGAACTACCTTAAACCGTCAATAGAAAAACTTAAACTGTGATCTGTGCCTGTATTATTCAAGGTATTCTGTGACCTTTTATTAATATGTTTTGTGTCGCAATGTAAATATGTGACCTGATATTCATAGGATATATGAACTTGCAAACTAAATCGATGACTAGTCGTACTACTGTGTTCACTGTAAATATGTGACCTCATAATCATACGACGTGTGACTGCTATTACGAACTACAACTGTGACCAATCGCATTATTGTGTACCAGAAGATTAATAAATTAGGATATTACATGTGACCATAAGATCACTACAAAATCTTCAATTATTGGTTCTAGGTCACAGAATGGTGACTTGTGTTTCTACTGAACATTGTCATCTGTAAACATGTGACCTCATAATCACATATGTGACCTCATAATCATATGTAAACATGTGACATCATAAACATGTGACCTCATAATCACATATGTGACCTCATAATCATATGACGTGATATTGCTATTACGAACTACAACTGTGACCAATCGCATTATCGTGTATCAAAAGAAAAATAAATTAGGAAATAACATGTGACCACAAGATCACTACAAAATCTTCAATTGTTGGTGCCAGGTCACAAAATGGTGACTTGTATTTCTACTGAACATTGTCATCTGTGACCTGACATTCATGTTTTCAGTGCTACAGAACATGAAATGTGACCTCAGAATCATAAGACATGTGACTGATGTTAACGTGCAGCATTACAAACAAAATTTGCTCAGAATAAAATCTTGAACTATTTGTAAACAGGTCACAGAACAAAATATGTAGTGAACACAGTAATCTATGACCTAATATTCATAAGTCCCGTGCGGGAAATTAATTATGTGACCAACCCGTCAGTAGAAAAACATAAACTGTGACTTGTGCCTTTATTGAACAATGTAATCTATGACCTGTTATTAATATGTTTTCAATGCTGCAGAACATGAAATGTGACCTCAGAATCATAAGACATGTTACTGATGTTAACGTGCAACATTACAAACAAAATTTATAAAATCTTGAACTATTTCTAAACAGGTCACAGAATAAAATATGTAGTGAACACAGTAATCTGTGACCTAATATTCATAAGTCCCGTGCGGAAAATTAAATATGTGACCAACCCGTCAGTAGAAAAACATAAACTGTGACCTGTGCCTTTATTGAACAATGCAATCTGTGACCTGTTATTAATATTTTTGTGTCGCAATGTGAATATGTGACATGATATTCATAAGATATGTGAACATGCAAACGAAATCGATTACTAGTCACACTACTATGTGTCCAAACAACGGTTCATTACATACTAAAAGTAGTGGCACTCATGGAATGCAAAAAATGAGTTTACATCAATAGGACAATATTCAAATCAATCACCCCCATTGATTTATAAAAGACTATATATTCAAGCATAAAATCCGTTTACAAAAACTTTTGTGACAATCCTCATTCAATGACAATGCCCTCTCCTTTTGTGGTCTGCCTCGGATTCTTCACATAGGTCTCCCGGTGTTTGTAGAGTAGCGATGCAATATCAAATCTACACTTGGCGACGTCAAATTTCTGTGGTATAGAAGATCTGCCATCTCAAAGGATATATAAAGCATATAATATGACGAACACCCCGCAATCATGACTGTGGAATAACACAAAACAGTATGTTATGAAATAATATTAAAATATGTTATGTATGTAGTATTGGTCACATACTCACCCATTTATCTGTTGGGGTATGGCAGTGTCAACGGTCACCTTCAATTCCATGCAAATTAATAATTCGATATCATGGTCACATAAAACTATTCAATAACTATGTTATCAATCAGGTCACATGCATGCACTATGTCATCCATTAAAGGCACAAATTCATAATTGTCTCGGTCATAGATTCACATATTGGTCACATGGTCATGTTGATAATGGTCATGTTCACAGATGGTGTAATAAAAACTCATTTCAGCACACATGTTGTTCACACACAAACATAGTCAAATCATACAGTCAGCCTAGAAAACTGATTATTTTGAAAGGGTCACATATATATGTAACCGTGTACTCACGCCACAAAACATATTCACAGTGTCGTAAGACAATAATAACATGGTCGCAGGCATGCATAATAATATGAATTCAAGCCTCGTATGCACAACCACCTTAGTGACCGACGGATATCATGGTCACACGCCATAAGTGTGTTAAAAAAACGTAGTCACAAATTGGAGCTCATGGTCACATAAAACTCTTCAACAATTACGTTAACAATCAGTTCAGTACATGCATAATATCATCCATTGATTAAGGCCACAAATTCATATTTGTTTCGGTCACAAATTGACATATTCATCACATGAACCTTCATTGTTGATGATAGTCATGTTCATCGACGGGGTAAACAAAACACATTTTAGCACACATGTTGTTCACACACAATGAGGTGACGAAACTTTAATCCTACGATTACAATAGATTAAGTTTACAGATGTCAAATTAATGTTCAATAGTGCTAAACCCATGATTCCACCAACATGCGTGCCACTAAAATCAGAACACATACACCAGAAATTTAAAAAACCTTGTTTGATGGCACTTTTCTCGCGGACACCGAAACGACGTGCTTCTTAGGTGAGGTTCTTTTGGGGCTCTGCTCAGATTTCCTCTTTTTTGTTCGTTTTGACATGTCTTCGACATTAGTAACCGATTTTGCGCCCTTCGATTCCTCCATTTCAATTCGCTTGTTGATCCCAAGCAAAAAAATTGGGCGAAAACTACTTGAACAGATTATATACTACTACGAATGAAGCCGATAACACAGTTGCAAAATGGAAAACGAGAGACTTCGAAATTACCGGATGTGAAATCAAACGATAAAAGCGGATTCGTGGGGCAAAAGTTTTGGGTAGTTTGGAATCGTGCAGAAGATATTGAGAGAGAGAGAGAGAGAGAGAGAGAGAGAGGAATTGGTATATTATGGAAGTTAACTTAATGGATATCCTAATTGCGATAATTAAGGCACCAGTTACTATACGTATGATTTAATTATTTAACAATAAATTAATTATTAATATTTTAATAACATAATAGAAACCGGAGATGTGCATATAAATATTTCCAACCTGGCTTGTGAACTCAGTTCTTCATATACCTGGAAATATGTAATTTCCACCTTTTATATCCCCCACAGTCCAAGTCATTATGATTATTGTATCCCTTGTAATAAATAAAACACGTAATTTTATCGACTTCTCTATTTTTTTTTTTTTTGTATTTTTTCTAGTTTATGACATTTTATCAGCATGAGCCTCTAAAAAGTAAAGTGAATTAGTTAGAATGTAATGATTTTTATAAGCATAATTATCTATCATATGTATCAAAATTAATTTAGTGACGTGAATATTTTTTGTCAATTCATGCATCAAATTAATGTTTCTGTATTGGTTCATGGAATTAAACAAACACATTGATAGAGAAATTATGCATACCCGTTCTAGTATTTATTCTATTGTATGTATAATGATTATTTTACTAATGAATATAATCAATCACGATTATTTTATTGTACTATGAATCGTGATTATTTTGTATGTATATAATATCTGTATCCATATCCTATTTGTATATCTTGTTTGCGTGAATTTTATGTAAATTCAATGATTACACTATTTATGCACCTATTTGGTTAATC